TCTCCATCGCTGTCTGGCCCCCGCTTCCGGTCCCGCGCCGCGGAAGGACTTCCTAGAGGAGGAAATGAAGCCCCAGTCAGTGTGATGCCCCGATGTTTTGAATTTTTGTTGAGCATTTTCATCCCGTGACCCAGGTCTTTGGAAGGCGTGCACCCATTTCCAGACGGTCATCACCGAGTGTGTCTGCCAGCCCCCTCCCGCCCGAGCCCGACTAGGAGCTGCATTAGAGGAACGAGACTCAGCCCACAAATTAATTTGATTTCATCCTTCTGAGTTTCAGGAATCAAATGCGTTTGTGCTGCCCTTTCCTCAGCGCACTTCCCTCCCTGCTCTTTAGAAACACTCCTGATTCCACATTGCATTTTGCCTTAAGTGCTGCCCCTGGGTAAAGGTAATTACCATTTAAAAAGTAGAGAAAGTGCATTTCTCATCTCTGATTTTCCAAGCCAAGAGCCACCAAGGAGTAGGTGGCACTTTATAGTCTTTAGTATCAATTATCGCTGCTTTGGCTTCGCTGTGGAGGTCCTTACTTAACCCTAAAGTTGGCCGTTCTGTTTTAATTATGTCGTTTAACCTGGCTGCGCTGAGCGAACCTTAAACAACCTTGTTAAGCGAGAAGGAAATCATGATTATCAGGAATGTGAAGCATTGCGAAGTCAATTCTGTATACTTAGCATCTTGTAATTATGACAAGAATTCGTTCCTAACTAGTATTTTTAAAATAGACGCACACAAAACACACACACAAAGTAGCAATAGAGGACTCTGAAGTGCCATCACTTGTAGTGTTTGCGTACTGGAGCCAATTAACAGCCACCGGAACATCATCCTACGGGAAAGGTCTGCTGGCAACTTATTCATTATCTTCTACTGCGTCTCACAGTAAAAAGACAGGCACCTTACAACATGCAAGTCGTCAAAAATTTCAGCTATTAGATCTGAAAGCAATTTAGCTAAACCTGTTTCTAAAACGCCATGATGACTGGAATTTATCCAAAGGGGACATAAGCTTATAGTATTTCTCCAATATCTCCCTTGAATTTAATGGTACAAAGATTACATGTAAGAGAGCAATAAATTAATTTTACTAAGTACATAAAAGACAAGGCCAGCTCCTCCTGAAATGAGCACCAACTCTGCCCTCCACAATGGAGAAATATAATTATGTTTGTAATAAAATGTAAGGAAGTCGCCGATCTTTGTGCTGTTTCAGGAATAAATCACTGCTCCCCCTTCAGAGCCTTGCGATTTGATAAATTATCCTTGAAGGAAATGTTATCAGAGCCCCTGTTTAATAAGCACGTTTGAACTTCCAAATTAGCATGTAAATAAATGAATGGCTCTCAGGCTGTTGATATGTGATTGGATTCCTCCAGCCCACCTCATGGAAGGCTTCTCGGCGACACAGAGTCCCGTGAACAGCTTCAGCCCGTTCCGTCGGAGCGTATGAGATGTCTACATGTGCCGTTCTAGTAGGTGAACTTACTACCTACCTGTTCGAACTATACACATAGCAAGTTTTAATTAATGCAGCTTTTAAAAAAAAAATGACTTGTTCAGATTCCTCTTGGGCACCAGGTACTACATTTCCCACAATGAAGTCTTGGTGCTGGAATTCCCTGCGTACCTGTTGGAGCCCCACACCTGTCAGAGACGAATTAACTACGTCTGAATAATTAAAAAATGAATGAATACCAATATGTGGAACACACCTTCCCGGCTTAGGGCTTCACTCATGAGTCTTTTTTTAATGTGCTATGTACAGACCGGGCTGCAGCGACAGCTCTTTGAGCCATGGACTCCGAGCTGCAGTTGGCAGCGTTGTCCCGACGCCGCGCCTCTGGGCAGCGATGGCGCTGCGGTGGGCGGAGCCTTGCTGAGAGCAGGAGTGGGGGCGGCCCCGGGCCGGAGCCCTGGCGGAAATTCCCAAGGCCCTGCCTTGGCAGTGGCCGTCCCGGCGCGCATCTCCTCTCCGGGTCCCAGATGCGCCCTGCCTCTAGCCCTTGCTGTCATTCCTTCGTCCATCCCATTTGTCCCTGTAGACCGTGTACCGTCTCTGAGGGATCTAGAGCTCAGGCACCCCTTTTAAGCCAGAAGAACTTCCTTGGGGTGGAAAGTTCTCCCCCGAGGGGACTGGTGAGGTGGCACGGTTGAGACGTCCCTGGGCATGCAGGCAGCGGCTTGTCGCGCGCCCTGTGGCATCCACCTGCTTGTCCTCTCTGCTTCCGGCTCGGGGTTCAGGTGGCCTGTGCCCTGGCCCTTCCTTTCACACAGTCTGAAATGGGACCCACAGCAGCGCCTGAGCCCCTGATGTTTGGATTTAGTGGGCAGATGTCAGCACGCGGACCGAGCAAGTGGGACAGGGCAGTGCTGGTGCCCGAGCATCCCTAGAAGACACGCCGACGGTGCCTTTTTCATGTGTAGTTGACGCTACAGAACCTGATTGACGCCTTGGGGGGCCGTCTTTCCACTGACTCTTAATTTTTCTCACTTTTGAAAAGGTTTCTGTACACCCAGTATTCTCTAGTTAAAGCTGAAAATTAAACTCATCATATTTACACAATAAAAAAAAATCCATTCTGCCTTGTTTTTAATTGCAAATTCGGCTCCAGGGACCGGTTCTCATGCTTAGGAAGCAGCTCTGTGACTTCGCCTAGAGAAGCAAGCGCAGTCAATTATGGTAATGAAATGTCAATAAATATAAAAATTTAATACAGTCTGCTCCGGGTGAGTGGCAGATGAGAACTTGCCTCCCAGACAAATTTGCTGCTGCTGCAGATATTAAATGCACCTAAAAGAGTATCTGGTTGCCTGAGAGCTCGCCGGTCCAAAAAGGATGGGAGTGTCAGGTGCCAGCTGGGCCTCCCGTTAGGCTGTAGCCGCAGCAGCAGAGCTAGTGCTGCCGCCCCGCACCTTCACTTCTTAGTATAGATGGAAATGCCCACGTCCCGTGCATAATCTGCGACTGGCGCATCGTACCACCTGTTTTTCCAAAGAAGAAGAAAATAAGCCTTTTTAGTTTTGTTTTCCAAATCAAGAAATTATTCTTCTCATCAGTAAAATCATTGCTGTCTTGCGAGAGCAACGTGTTAATACCCGTGTGAAGGCCGTCAGTGCTGCTAGCTTCGTAGCAAGCGGCAAACCGAAGGGTGATCTCCGTGCGACTCTTTCAGCGTCCACAAGCACGTGGTCTTAAATGATGATGACTTTAAAATGTCACCTCTCAATAAAATAAAAATAGAAACCTACCTCTGCCTTCTCTTGCCTCATTAATTAACACCGTGCGCATGTAGGATGCTGTCTCGGGTTCACTTTTTATGGACAATGTATTTTTCTCTGAACTAATTCACGAGTTAACAATTTTCATCTTATGTGATAATGTCACCTCCCAGTAGGAAGAAAGATAAAGATGTCCGCACTTATAACTCAGAGCTGCTTCCTCCAAAGCATATCAAAATGCTTAGACTGATCAGAATAATTAAGATATTATCAACATACGGCTGGTAATGACAGACTGTGTCTCAAACTGTTTTCATGGGGAAAGTCCCCCGTGCTATAAATCTACATTGCATCCTGATTTTACCCACAGTTCTTCAGAGTCGCACGTGAAATAGACGTATGTATGTACATGTATGTAAACTCTGAGTCGTAACACCAAAGTGTGCACTGCGCAGGCCCCAAGCCTGAGAGCCACTAAGCGGGGACTCTGTGTTGCAGGTGGACTATTCTGTCATCGCCTCGCAAGCGGGGGCCACACTCAACAACCTCATGAGTCACGCGCAGGAGCTGGTGGCCAAGCTTCGTTCTCTGCAGTTTGATCAACGAGAGTTTGTGTGTCTGAAATTCTTGGTGCTGTTTAGTTTAGGTAAGCACTCCATTCCTCATAAAGCTGACTAAATGATACTGAACTGTATTTTCTCTCTTTTTAGTTCTTTTATTTATTTATTTTTATTGAAGTAGAGTTGATTTACAATGATGTGTTAGTTTCTGGTGTACAGCAAAGCGATTCAGTTATACAGATACATATATATATAGGTGTGTGTGTGTGTGTATATATATATTCTTTTCCAGGTTCTTTTCCTTTATAAGTTATTACAAGATGTTAAGTACAGTTCCCTGTGCTCTACGGTAGGACCTCGTTGTTTATCTGTTTTACGTAGAGGGGTGTGTATCTGCTAGTCCCAAACTCCTAATGTATCCCTGCTGCAACCTGGTATATCTTCGTGCGCGTGCCCCACAGGAGGCACGCCCTGTGGTGGGTCGGTCGGGGTGTGGGGACGGAGTTACTAGACTGGAGTCTGGAGTTTTCTTCCCGGATGGACGTAACAAATGGGCAGCCCTGGGAGAAACTGATGGAGGCTGCATGGCGCTGCTTAGGGACAACGCGTGACGTCTCACTGGCCACCCTCCTGCTGCTGCTCGTTTCTCTAGTGTCTTCTGTTTCAGCTGCGAGCTACTGCTGGTTTTGTTCTTGTAAAATATGGACAGTAATTAAAAACCTGTTTCTTAACTCCCTATCAGGGTGGACTAGAGAGCGTTTGTAACCAGATGCACCGCTCTGCGAGTATAAAAGATGGCGGTTGTCAGGGGGAAAGGATGCTTCTTTGGAAAGCTTTGGAGAAGAAAGATAACTAAGCAAGACAGATTAGCTAAATCAAGGTTCCCAGTGAGTCAGCTCAGAAAAAATCACCACTGCTTGGAATAAAAAAAGGATTAAGGAGATGGATTTTTATTGACTTCAAAGGAACAGATTTTTCTGCCTGTCCCATACTTGATTTCTGTATTTTGTTGGCTTAATAAAGCCAACTTAAATAAACTTTTTGCCAAGTTCATTTATTACTTATTGGCAGACGGCTGGGGGAGGCAACTTCCCTTGAATGAAAAAAAATGCAGAAATCAGATTTACCAACATATGTTTTTCTTTAGCCTTCAGTTATAAGATAGTTGTGAATTCATATCCTAAGAAATAGAACAATAAAACAAACTGCAAAGCAAAACAGATGTGTCCCCGCTCCAAATCTGGTACTTTGGTTTTAAAATTCCTCTTGACAGCAGCACACAACTGTTGCTAATAAAGGAATAGTTTGAAGCAATAGAACCAGAGTTAATTTTTCACATGTAGTCAACATTTAAAAGAAAAAGAACATTTTCATATTTTGGAAAATGTGATAAATATAGCAAAAAGAAATGTTACCGAAAATTTAAAAAGACAACAGAATTTCATAGATGTAGTGTTCAAAGGTTTCCAGTGCCAGGACTGGACCCTGTGTGGTTTCTGTATTAACCACAAGAAATTGGAAAGCTCTGTTCCACTAAGTCTACGTCTCTAACCCGAGAGCAATTTTTAAAAAATCAAGAGGAAGATAGCAGAGGCCTGCTTGCTGTAATCTCGCAAATTGCTCTGGTTTATGGCAAGACCTTAGTGTTTTCAACTAGTACATTTGATCAGTAATTACATGAAAAATGTGGTAATATATGTGTAAGAAATCTTACAGCATCTTGGTGATAAAATATTTAAAGAGAGTCATCTCACTTCAATGGTATTTTAAATTAGTTGAATCACTGCATTACATTTGAAGATGCAGAGATTAACCACGAGCCATGTTTAGTTTTCATCACTTTTATCTTTCCTTCGTCGTTTTCCAGAGTTATTATGTTCTGTGCCAAATGCTGTGGAAGAGGGGGCATGGGGGAGGGGGGTCGAAGTGCGCTCAGCCTTTGAACCTCATGGATTATCTTCCTGAACAGTTGGGCCGTGTCTTTACCAGAACCTCAACCACAGAGAACTGTCTGGTTCACGCAGGCGTTGACTGTTTCAGGAACCTGGGCACCAGTGAATGTCCCTTAAAACGATGCCTGTTTGTTGTTTAAGGAAGAAAGGAAAGGCTGGCTTTCCAATCAGAGGTAAATCAGGTTTGGCCAAGACTTTATTTTTCAAAGAAGCAGAAATGGGAGGATACAGCTCAGTGGTAGGGTGCATGCCTAGCAGGCACCAGGTCCTGGGTTCAGTCCCCAGTACCTCCACTAAAATGAATAGAACAAACCTACTTACGTCCCTCCCCCCACATAAAAAAAAGCAGAAATAAGGTAACTGGTAATAAAGTTCAAGTAGTTTCCAGTTTATGAACGAAAACTTTTCTCCCCACTAGAAACAACAAATAATCAATCTTGGGGGCTGGGGGCAAATTCGTCCCAGACTCTCGTGAGTCCCATGGCCCCCAGTCCTGCGTGTTCTGATCCCGGCCCAGCCTTGAGCCGCTCTGGTCCTGGAGGAAGATGCGGCTTCTGGGGACCGATCAGAGGCCAGGGTCTGTGCTGCGAGGGGGCTGCGTTCTCCCGGGGGAGATGAGGCGG